CGGCACGCTCGGCGCTGGATAAAAATAATTGGACAAAGAAATTAATTACTGCGTTCTGATGCCGCGATTAAATGATCCATCTCATCTGAAGTTTCTACTCTCGGAAAAGAGAAATATGCATTCGAAGCATTCGATCACTCGTAAGATAGCCAAGTAACGAATAGTATGCTAATCCGAGAACGTTACGGGGCGGGACTCTTCAGCGAATCGTTTCGAACTTTTCGAATTGCACCGAGTCTATCTCGTCGGTTAGTGAAGAGCGGTAGTATGTTCTCCCCCCTCCTTGAAGAAGTCCGTGAGAGAAACTCACTCCCCATCGTACCAATAAGAATGTTTCGCAGAAGTTCACCCGGGCGATCAGTGTACTCACGATGTAAAATAAATCTCGACCTACCGCAGGACTTTGATCCCTCCCATCTTTGGCGCGCGCGCGAAACAAAACCAACACCCTTAATCTCAGAAAGTATATATACCGACATATAATACCTTTGAAATATTTTATTAGAGATTTATCACGGGGCCGTTACTTCAGTCTGCTGTATTACAAATCGTATTACGAACTGCAAAGCCCGGGGATCCGCCACGTCGCGAAAAAAAGCTGCGATACTCTCTATGTACGTATCGCGGATTTTTGGGTTACCGTGTAAATTCGCGAAATACGAGAAACGCGCGATGACACGCGGGAAAAAATCCGCGGGGATAGTGCAGAATCGTGCAATAAAATATTTCCGAGAAGGCGGATTTTTCCAAATTGAAAATTTTTGACATGACGGATATAAAAACGCGCGTGTGCAACGGTCTTCCGTATATCTTTAAAAGAATCTCGCAGGTTTCTGGCGAATTTGCGATTCGACGCGTTGAACGTGAAGCTTTTATAGAAAATCGATCTCGATTACGACGAAACGCATTTTCTAATATGATCAAGGGTCGGTCGTGCATGCATCTGCGCGCTAAAGAATTAATGCCTGCCCTACGTTTCACAGTATTGGATGCACATTCTAATGGAATCGACTGTCCTACACACTGGCTGTCGGCAGTGAGGAGATCCCTACGTTCCGACATGAAATAAAATCGAACGAGGCCATTTGCCGAGCACTCGCCGTTCTCTTCCTGTCGTTGTCATGGTCTTAAATGAGACGCCCGAATGAAAAACGGCGCTCGCGGCTTGGTAGCCATCGGAGGAATAACTGTCGGCGACGCTTTTGCCTTTTGGCGTCACGACCAAGGTCGATGATTCGCTTGTACGAAAATCAACCGAGGGAAACGAACGCGTAAGGGAGAAAGGCTGGTGGAAAGCGCGAAGAGGGGAAGCGGATCTTGGAAAAAGCTCTCGCTCTCGCGGATCCTGACAACACAGATGCGAGTGCATGCAGCACGGTAATCCCGAGGGAGAACAATTTTATTTGTTCCATCAAGAGCACATTCCCTCTCCGCTTCTATCCATTTTGAACTCGATTCTCGGATCACCTAGTCAAGCTACTATCCTTTCCTCGACTGTGGGTTCATCTCGTCATCTACACGTGATGCATAAGAATACCTCCGTTTTACCATTTTACGTCCTACGTGCACTTTCGGAGAACGAAAGCGTCTTATAACCGTCTGCGTTTTATTAACTGCGTTTCTTTCTTTTTTTTTTCATTAAGATCGATCTTTTTCCATTGCTTCCCCAGATATTGCCGTCCAAGAATAACTCCTCGCTAAGACGCAAACGTAAAAACAATGAATCAATGATCAATGCCGAAGTCGGAGCTTTTCGCATCTGCATCCGCTCGTTAAGCGAAGTAGAAGGAATAATCGTGACTCGTTAGCCGCTACCGAGATTCCGCGAAGGTTCTCCTCTTTCTATCTCTCTCTCTCTCTCTCCATCTCTTTTTTCTCTTTACTTCCTCGCATTCCCTCTCTCGTATACGCTCCGCCATCTCACTCTCTTTCAAGCTGAACCGCGTATCCCGTCATGCATATGAATGAAACTGTTTTGCCGCGAGCCGAAAAAACGTCACGCTGTTAAACGACTCGCGCTTATTCATAGCTGCAGTCAACCAACACACCATCCCTGCTACCAACCCCGCGGTGAAGCTTCGAGAGACGATAATTCGAAGCTCGTTCCGGGCGTTCCCTTTGGGCCCTTTGTACGCTCGCGATATCGTTTCGAAGAGTTGGCACACGTATCCGCCACCTCTCTCACCGATGCTCGTTCATCAAAACAAATCAGCGACCCTGCTGACTTAACGAGAAAATAACTTGCTAACTATACCGTGAATGGTATTGACCGCAAACACGGTAATATTTATAAAATTCGGGCGCACTTTTGAATTACAAATTGGAAACAATCAGAAAATGTGTCGTCCTTCACAATTACAATTTTGTAATTTTTTATTGTGTGGTATTAAAAACACCTGCGCCAAGAGCATTTTCCCTCTTATTATTTCACGATACAAAATATGAAACCTTTGTAAAACGAGTTAGATCGACGGCGGTAAGTGATAATGTAAAATTTATTTTTGGCTATTCGTCCGCTTTCGCGCGCGTAATTCACAAATTTTTCAATGCGAATTTTACAAGAATCAGAAATGAGGGAAATATGAGAATCGATCCCACAAGTGGAATAGTATTCAGGAGACGTGTGCGTGTACGCTCCTATTGCAAAGATTTGAAAAATGTTCATTTTAATGGTTGACGTAACATGAATATTGGTTACCACCGAAGTGTTACGTGCCCAGAGTCTCGAGTAGAAGCACGTACAGTAGAATGTACATATACACTATAATGTATATATATGTATATTATATATACACACCTTGTAAGATACGATATGAATAGGTCGCTTAATATCGCGTACGCAACGTGAAAAATGTAAATTCGCGCAATCTCCGATCGCGAACGGTACATTGATTCGCCTTGAACCACATTGTCGCATCACGGCAAAGTTCACTTTTTCGCGTCAAGTTACGCGAACGCCCGCCCGGTTGGGCGTAATTTCACGTTATTTTAGCGGCTCGGGCAAACTTTTTAGTCAAATTGAGTAACGGATCGTGCATTGAATGCAAATCACCGCGACATAACGCGATAGGACCCGTTTCATTTCTCCTTTTTTTTGCGGTGAAGTTCGGCGGCCACAAACTTATGCCGCTGAAGTTATGCCGCGCGTACTCCCATGATTCCAACCCGTCGTCATCTATAGGATGCTAGGAAAAGTTTGCTTTTGACGCGGTGGGTTGCACGTGACGAATTCAAATCAGGCGTAAATACTTAAAGCAAACACTCCGCGAGGGGGAGCGGGGCGATGGAGGGGACACGGAGGTGCTACTCGGTTTTAAAATAAAGCATTAGAAGCTCGACGAGCGACGAACGGGGTTGTTAAGGAGGGTGGCGTTACCGCCCGAACCGGTCTGCCTTTCAAAGTTCACGGCGAAACTTTGCGTAAACTCGCCGAGTTGAGCAGTGAAACTAGTTCATTGAACGCAAATCGGTAACGACAATGAATGAGTCACGGATATTCGATTATCATCCGAAAATACCAACAGAATCGAAAACCGATTCACCAAGATCGGAATTTCCATCATTAAATAAATAAACTGAGTTTTCGAAATGCATTGATGTATTTCGGTTCGATTGGAGGAAAGGATTCTCGTAGGAAAGGATTAGACGAGATATCCCAAATTAAATATAAACTAGATTTAAAGTTAGGGAGATTATACATACGCCCCTCAAAGATTGGTTATAATCCGCAAGAGAGAATATATAATTCAATTTATTCCTGGAGGTGGATCTACAGCGATGTTTAAAATGTTTGGTGATTATTACAAAAGCAATATATTGGCATAAATATTTACGTATTGTGATTGATTCTTATGCTATTTATTAGTCAGATTTTCTACTGAAGCTTCTTCTCTAAATGTTCCTTAAGAATTGTCAAAGTAATATTTTGCTTTAATGCAAAATAATACTAGGCAGTCGATTTGATAATCTTTTATTTCGACTTGAGAAAATAAAATTGTCAAGCTGCAAAAAATTGTCGTGTATCGGAAAATTCTTTCCATATATATATACTTATATAATATATATATAGCTAACGGCTAAAGGCAATATAAGTGAGGTAAGTAAGTTCCTTCCCTTTTTTAACTCACGGCTAAGAACAGAAGAATCGCATTTGAACTTTTATATCTCCTTCGATCAGATACAATAAGAAATATCGATAGTAATACGTTATATTGTCGCCGAAGTTGCGGAAAATGGGAGAGTTATTTATAATAAAAAGCAAAATTCAATTATTAGAACATTTCATATAGGAAATATTAAGATATCTAAAACAATTTATGTCTAAAATGACGGAGACGTTATCCAGTGATTTCATAGGTCTCTGTAGATTTCTGTGCTGTGAGTTAATTAATAATATCCGCAAAGTCCATAAGTAACAACCGGAATTCATAGATTTAATGAAGATAGATCTCCGAGTAATGAAACTAAAAGCACAACGTAGCCATCTAGATAAATCTTATTGGCGCAACATCAAACGGCTTAATACGATACAGAACGAGTTTTTAATTCACTAATGATATTTGAACTAAAAACAGTCAAGTTTAGATCTCAAAAATTGTCGGGGGGAAGATAGAAGCGGGAATTTTATCTACATATAATTTTTTTCTGTTTTGAGATTAATCCAAGGATTAATCACAATAAGTACACGGACAATTGCATTTACTATTTCAAAGCTCACTCATAAATGTAAAAAACTTTATCGAGCGGCACATAATCAGAAATAGTGTAATAATTGAAAACCAGGAAAAAATAAAACGTATTGATCCGTATTCGACTTCATATACACATAGGTATATATCCTTTACTGCAATATGAGTTCGGATCAAATTAAAGGAGCTTCCATTGTTAATGAATGTCAGCGGCGTTCTATATTATCCGACTGGGTTTGTTCCCACGGAAAGTACATATCTGGGAAAGGAGAAGGGAAGAGAGAAAGCGATTAAGAACATTCCGCCACTTACCTCGAACGATGAGCTTGATCACGGCTTCCGGCGCATTCCGGTTGTTCACGAGACACTCGTACGTACCGCTGTCGGCGGCGGTGACGGGATGCAGCTGCAGCGAATAATTTTTCAACGACAGGGACATTCTGTTCTGTTCTGTTCGTTGCACGACAGTCGTGCTTTTGCTCTTGTACTCGAGCAGCCGCATCCCGTTTGCCCGCCACTCGAGCATCAACACCAGCGAATTCTCCGTCACCCCCGGACAGCCCAGCGTGACGTTCTTCCCCGCCTCCACGACGACGTCCTCCATCAACGAATTCATGGCATCTGCGGACATAGATCTTTCCGTTATATACGCTCGTTGTACGGCGAAACGTTATCGTCGCGATAAAAACAAACGTGATCGCAGAGTCGCGGAGTAGGAATGAGAATCGAGAAGCGGATGGCTGGACAGAGGTCCCGCAACAGGACTCTCGCGGGTCCGGGATTCACCTGCGTCAGGACAATTTCAGCGTAGAACGAATAAAATCCGTGAATGACCGGACGTTCTTCGACTTTACAACGCGTCACTCCCGCTCGCTCGTAAGTCCGGGCATAAAAGAATTCTGAGCACCGCGAGGCGTGCGCGTCAATTTTTCTTCGGAACCACAAACGTTCTCTTTCTTGTTCCAAGAAAAACTTGAATATTTTTTTATCGCAATTTGAGCGCGACGCGGACGTGTGATCTTGCGCACAACGGCGAGCCGCTACAGTTCGCTCGCGGTATACGCTTGGAATATACTTGAGGGGATTTAATGTATACGCGGCGAGTACGGGCAACGCACCGCGCACCGTGGCGGGATAGCTTCCGATCGACTTTTAAAATTTCACGCGGCCGCGCTGGCTCGTAATTTGCAACGCAAAATATACGACGCCCTAGCTCGCGCGCGCGAATAAGCTCCACGGTTACGCCATATTGCATCGCAGAATTCTCAATACCCTGCAGGCATCCAATTTTCTTTCTAACGAGTTCAATTTTTTTCTCCAACGGGGAAGTACCTTCGATACACACATGCCACGCGCGCACTACTATTTCGCTCTCTCTACGGCCACGGAACCACATCGTCGTCCGGAAAATCTATGAAAATCCATGCACGAACGGACGACAGACCGGGAGTTCGCGCGTGATTTCGTAAGCACTACAGACACGTATGTATGCGCCGCGTATAGATATGCGCCGCGCTGTATCACGGAGGGCGAAACCTACGTCGATCGTGTGTACGTGGCGAAACCGCGCCGGACGATGCGGCAGGTCATCGCGAGGTAATTCACGAAGGGATTCCCTCCGCAATCTCTGGAAAGCCCTCGGAAAGCTTTCGCTACGCGGATTTTGTAGCAAAACAGTATTCGGATCACGCGTACGTATTCATACGTGCATAAAGTGCAAGTTCGAACCTTGCCAAGCGTGCTCCTTTAGCGCATCCGGTCTCTTTTTCTTACAATCGGCATAAATCACAGCTCGCCCTTTGAGCCGCGTCGTTGGATGTAACCACTCGACATCCCGTTTGTCTATACCTTTGCAAACGCGATAACAAATTTGTCGCAAAATAGTATTTCCTCGAACCTCGAAAATGCTCGCGATAAATTCTCTCTTTCACTACATTGAATTATTCCACCCGCTCTCTCTTTTCTTTCATTTCGTTATAAAATGTATATGCAAAATACATTTTTAGCTCTCTGAAAGCTACATTGGTTACTTCTCAGCAGAACATTTTTCTATAAGCCTCTTTTTTTATTTATATCTTTTATCTCTCAAGTACATAAAAATAACATTTTGTTTGCATTTTCACGAATAACAATTTTGCTTGATTGATGACCTGATTGCGACCAAAATAATTTAAATTTAGTCATCTTGTATTAACATCAAGAAGAGAATAATATATTATTTTTCATATACGTTTACGTCAGAATAAATGAGATTTTTTTCGATAATGACATTCATAATCAATAAAGCGCTCTTATAAAATGTGCCAAAGACTCCCATTTTAGTTCATTAATCAATAAAGCCATCATAACTCATTCTGATGGCTCGAAATAGGACACTTGAATTAAATAACGCGGCTATTTATTAATTATGAAATACCAAATCAAATTGTTTTATATATTTTTAAGTATCCAATATGTCGATCGCGAATTTTGCCATCGTCTACAGAAATTTGTATTGCAAAAATATATATATCAAAAATAAATTATTTTCCCTTCTGTTAGAGAGATTATGAATGCGGATGGCTGTCCGAGAACTTTAAAGTATATCCAGTATATATACTACTGTACATATATATGTCTGTCTGTCTGTATGTCTGTATATATGATATCGATCTAGTTTTAAAACTAAATTTCTTCAAACGTAACGTCAAAGTTACTCACGAAATGAGTCGACTGGGAAACATTTCGTGTCAGAAGATATCTCAACGGAATTTTAAAGCATACGTCGCTCCTCGAAGCTTCCTATATACCGCTAAAAACTCGGACTACGCGCACTCACCCTTACGCTAACGTCATTACGTTTCATCGTCAATCCATGGAAGCGTAAGGAGTAAATATGTTGCGAATTCCGTTGGCTCTCGATTACCTTTCGACGGAATGCGCTTCTATGAATGAAAAAAAGCATGCGCGGGGAAGATTAACGAAAATGCAGGTCGAAATAAACGCCGCCGCGACGCGACGTAGCGAGAGCGCGTAGCGGGAAAGTAATCTGCCACCGTTAACGACGTCGATCGTTTCCGATAGTACGCGCGGTGCGCGACACAAGGGTGGCGCAAAAAGTGACGGAAACAAAAAAAGAAACAGCAGAAAAGAAACGCGTGGACGCAACGCCGTGCGATAACGATAACGCGTTCGCACAGCTCAACGAGAATCGCCGTCGTTTGTACCCGCGACGACGAGGCATTCGCGGCCGCGGAACGCTCGTGAAATCGACACGGCAGATTGCCCACAAGAAAATAAAACCGTAATCGCGGACATTTTGACGCACGACAATTCCTGTATGACGCGCAAAAAAAAATACGAAAGAAATTTGCGAACAAAGGCGGAAAAATTTCATCCGCGTGCATTTCGATTGCGAGCCAAATTCTCGAGCGTAATATCGAGGAAACGGTTTCCTGCTGCCCGTGCTTCTCGCATATAATTCCGCACGTCATTTCGTCGCGCGATCCACGCGAATTCAGAATATTAACGTCGTAAACTTTCACAAGCTAATAACTAATTTCCGTCGTCGACGCGATTCGACGTTTGCGCTCGAGAGCCCGTGTTCAGATGTCGATCGCGCGAGCTGTGCAGCAAAATAATGGCAGTCGCTGAAAGATCCCCGTACTGGCGCTACGTGTGCGTTCTATTTTGCGCGACCCTCGAAGTGTAATCGATATAATTTAACTACACGGAGAGAAAGGAGACGAGAGCAACGGGGAAGATCTCCGAGGATTGTCGTGCAATCACCAGGCACACGCGCGGGGCGCGTTTCCGAACTTCGAATCACCCTCCCTCGCGTGCTGCTTTATAGTCCGGGGGGTCCATTTCGCGCGCAAGTTAACATAATGTAAAAAGTTTCTTCGACGGTGGATAACACCCGCACCGCCACCGTCCCGCGTCGTGACGGAAAAATATATCGCGCTCGTCCCCGATCGCACGGTGTGGTTTTGATCGCGTTCGACTTGCGCGCGTCCCACCGCGGAAATGAAATTTCGCACGCGATTCTGTCTTCGTATCTTCGCAGGAAAGAAGCTCCCGCACGCGAGAGTTTCCGAACAACTGCGCAGCAACGGCAACGGCAGTAGCGGCAGCAGGAACCAAACGACGCGGACGCGTCTCGTTACTTCTCGAACTTTGTCAAAAATATGTCGTAAAAAGTTTCCATACCAATTCCCGCCGCCATGCTTACGAAAAAACCATAAATTTCTCTTTCCCGGGGTGAAAAGGGAGTGGGCTACACGCGACGTAATAGTTTTTCCAATTTTACGACGCGCCGAGTCGCGCATCGAGCGTTTTTTCATTAGCTTCGTTAAATCACCGAAAGAATTAATGTTAATTACGGCACAAATCGCGCCGTGATGCCTCGATTGTGACAGAATGTCGTGGAAAACGCGGAGAATATTTACTACAAACTGTCGGCCAATTATTTTATCCGACTCTCAAGCGCGCTCGTTAATTATTCCTTACAAAGTGATATTCGTTATACTTCCCTTGGGGGATTACTGGAGGCAAACGGCATCTTGAATCCCGCATGGGCCTTGAAATTTGCTTTAATGCTATAGGAATATTACGAGAGAACTTAATGCGCGTCTCCATGTCGGGGAAATAAGTGCTTTCAAGCAGCTATCCCTTTCGCCGACGTCGCGGAAGAACCATTATTTCGAATTCTGTTTAGCAGTTTTCAGCGGGATTTAGAAAGAAAGCGTAAGCTACGTAAACTCACTCCCATATAAATGCAAGTAAGAGTAATTCAACGTGGCTTAATAGTGGCGTTAAGTCACTTTTTAAATAATAGAACAAATTGCCTCAAGTAACCGACGTGTAATAGCTTACTCTTAAATAAAAGAAAGTCTATGCTCTAGCTTTAACACACACAGTCGACTTGTCGGTAGTTCAGAGGAATATCCATTGGCATCTTGTTATTTAGAATTCATGGCATATGTCAAATGTATCATTTAGCGAGCGTCAATTACCGCGGCAGAAGCAACAATCAAGGATTCTCGACCTGCAACCGAGTCGCGAGGCCGACTTAAAAATTGAATTTTATCCTCTTTTCCGTGACAGGGGACCGGCTCGGTACGCCGTAAATTAATTTACGCAAATCTTCCGCGGGCATGAATTTTTCCAGCACTAATTTCCCCAGAAGCTACCACGCTTCGCGAGATACGGTCACACGGTCGAGGCAAGCCGTTACCACGGTAATTACCTTCCTACCTTCGTTCCGCTTCGTCTTTTTGTCTCATAACCAAGTAACTATCTTAATTGCTTTTGCTTTTCTAACTCTGGATACTGCACTAAGTCCGGCTCGTTTTATACGGCGGAATGCTGACCCGCCACCTCCCCCGAAAACCTCCCGGTCACCATTGTCGTTAGTGACTATCCACAGAGAGGGTTATCCTACCCTCCCGGAGGTCGATTTAAATTATTTCCCCTCGGCCGTTCGCGCCTTCCGTTCTTCTCACTCTCTTCCCGTCTCTTATCACTCCGTAACCCGCGGTCGCCGATATTTTTTCATTATGCCTCCGAGGTCCTTTGTTTTTTATCGGGACGATGATAACATCGCAACTTCCGCGGAAGAGTCGAAGCGGCGGCGGCGGTCG